TCCTGATCTTAAGCGTAGACTATCTGGAATTTCTTAGTCCCGTATTTGTTTTGTATATAGTCAATCAATTTCTTCCAGAATACAGACATTTCTCTTATTGAACTTCAAGACTATCAAGTACGTAGGAGCTCAACCTTCATACCTGTCCTCATCTGCTCATCAAGGATGCTGTATTTTTGCTCTCTAAAACTAGGGCAGCTTTGCTGATGGTGACTCTACCATGGGCATTTTTCCAACACAGCTGTACATTGCAGCTTGTGCTGGAACTCTGTACAGTATATTCCTGCACTATTTGCATGTGCTACTGACTATCATTTGTACGTGCAAAACTAAGTGATGTGGAGGAACAGTTACAGGCTGATCACAGATCAGCAGAGCAGAGGTGTGAAGCACCGCCATTCATTTGCAACTTTCAAAACCAGCAGAGATAAATGGAAAGGCCAAACTACAAAGCAGATCCCTGTCTCTCGATGCACCTTTATAATATGGAGCTTTCCTCACTTAGAAGTGCAAGAATTTGGCATCAAGATGAAAAAGACATCAGAGGAATGTAAGCGGTTGAAGAAGGAAAGCTAAATGCAGCTCGGCTTTTTAATGCAAAAACACAGCTTACTGGAAAGCACAGGTGGCTCTCTGAAATTAATTCCATTTTTCTGGCATACAGTATTTGTGCTGTGTATACCTTCACACTTGCAGTAATTGAACCTAAAATGATTTTGAAAGATTGAAAAGGGCATCGTTGCATTAACTTCATCATGCTGAAAAAAATGGGGGGGGGGGAGGTCAAGTTCTGGGATATCACAGTATTTGAAGGGATTAAAGGTAAGGATTGTTAAAGGTAAAAGGAAGGAATTTAAAGTTGGTTTATTTGATCAAAATTAAAACAGATGTTGTTGTTATTCCTGGTAACGCTTGATGGACTTTTGCTGATCAGGACTGAATGGCAACGTTTAAAGGATTTGTTTTATATAAAGTGATGTCAGGGACCAGCAGGGAGGGCACACGCCTCCTCTCTTGGTTTCTAAAGTCATTCTGCTTCAGGCAGTGGGAGAATCTGGGATTTTGTTCAAACTCTCCATCTCTCCATTTCAGGTCTCCAGAGGAGTCTCTGTTTGAAGGAGAGTTAGATGAGAGCAATTAGCAGCTAATTATGGTGACTCTTTTTCTATGGCTTCAGGGAAGAACTCTTCCTGTAGGCCTCTCTCATTCATGGTTCAAAGTAACTTGGGCAGAGTGATGCAATGAAGATTTCAGTGAGAGGTTGACTCACCCATGATGAGTCTCAACAGTGCTGTGGTTGGCGGATGCTTTTCTAGAAAATGTGAAAAGGCAGCATTCCCTGCAAGGGAAATCAGTACAATGTCCTCTGGCTACAATCCATAATTAAGGCAATTGGGATGTGTACAGTGTTTCTCAACCTTGGCAACTTTAAACATACAGGCTAAGGAATTCTGGGAGTCGAAGTTCCTACAGCTTAAAGTTGCCATGGTTGAGAAACACCACTATTCTATTTTCGTTTAACGCAGGCTCACAGACGGAAGAACAACATTAAGTAAGCTATGGTGAAGAGACCTCCTTCTGTATCAAAGGTCTTTAATACAGCTCCATCTTTGGTAAAATAGCAATAGCTTTTATTTACATTTTGTATTCAAGTGAATAAATTAGAGTGCCGTTTATCGGGAAGCAACTTGTTCACATCCCTAACAGCCAGTGCAAATTACTCCTCTTTTGAGGGGGTGAGGATTGAATAAAACAGGTGTGATAGTTTGAACTTATCTGTATTTTAGTGCTTTGGAACCAAAAGAAGCTCCAAGAATGAATTCTAGTGTTTTGATGTCCAGATTGATTTCATTTCAGAATCGTTTACGTTAGATCGCTTTACTGACATTTTGCCTTGATGACCTGATGTTTATGGGTGGAAACATAACTGTCAACTAAATGTGAAACGGGCATTAGTTTGCAAGTAAAATGAATCTCAGTGGAATAGATCTCAACTGTTATTAGTCTGTGACCTTGCCTAGTGAAGTGCTGTTTACTAGTTTCAAATCCTTCCCGATGGGAAAACTAAACCAAAGATAAAGTGTTGGAAAAGAAGGCTCAAGTACAAAAACTAACACTAAGTTGTAAAAACAAACCAGAGCTTTATTCCCTGTAGATTAGCTCCATATTTGCTCTACAGTGAAAGAATTGTCTTTGGACCACATATAAATAAGATTCCGAGGGTGAAATCTGATGTGTTTTTATTTGGAATTCTCTCTCTCTCTCTCTCTCTCTCTCTCTCTCTCTCTCTCTCTCTCTCTCTCTCTCTCTCTNAAGTGCAGTGTACATAATGTGCCTTGGCGTGATCCTGGCGCGCCAAGGGACGTGAATGAAGCCAGATGACAAACTGAACTGAAGCGGAAGCAGGGGGAAAAGCCTACTACTGGCAGGGATGATCAAAATATCTACTATCTGTGCCAGTCATGTTGGAGATCCATTAATACACCTCCATCCGAATTCCAAATGCAAATATAGTCATTTTAAGCAAACTTTTCTATTAAAAATGACTACTTAGAAAGTCATCCAAATGCCTACCGTATTTTTCGGACTATAAGACACATCGGAGTATAAGACGCACCAAAATTTTGAAGAGGCAAATTTAAAAAAAAGTTTTGGCACTCTGCAGGCCTCCCAAACCCTCTGCATGCCTCATTTTTTTTTTGTGAAAACGAGGCATGCAGAGAGTTTGAGAAGCCTACAAAGTGCTCCTGGGGGTGGGGCAGGGGAGGGGAACGGGGAAAAAAACAGGCCGTTTTTTGATCATTTTTGCCCTCCCCAGCCCCCAGGAGCACTTTACAGGCCTCCCAAAGCCTATGCACGTCCATTTTCGTGAAGGGGGCGGGGTTTTGGGAGGCAAAAAATGCTGTATTCAGTGTATAAAACACACCCAGATTTTCACCCTCTTTTTGGGGGGGAAAAAGATGCATCTTATACTCAGAAAAATACAGTAATTTCTTCAGTTTCCAATACTTACATCCTGATTTTTGGAAAGCGTGTGTCTTTGCTCCACCTCATTGTCCAGTTTTTTCTTCAGCTGGGTGATTTCTCTTTCCAACTTCTCTATTTGATTATTGAGCCTCTGTCGAGTTTCTGTCTCTCCCTTTTCCAAAATTACCTGGTAAATAAAATGCATTATGCTGTGTAGTCTTTCTGCCAAACCTTGCTCATATTTATTTATCAAGCACTTGATTGTAGCTAAAAGGCTGAGAAGCGATATCAAGCATAGTCAATAACAGTATTAACAGATTTGTAGCATTTGGAATTTAATGATGCTTCAGGACGTTTTTGGTCCATATCATTACATATTGTGGAGAAGTGTTTCCTCTATCTCAGCAACTTTAAAATGTGTGGATTTCAACTTCTAGAGTTCTGGGATGTAAACTCCCAATATCTTAAAAGTCATGTAGGTTGAGAAACACCTTTTAAAGAGAATAGAGAGAGAGAAAAATAATGCAATACAACTGAACATACCTGAATAGATTGCAGATTAGTAAGGAGCAGGTTTTGTCCTCTGTGTTCTGCTACTAAAGATTCTTTTTGCTGAGACAAACGAATTTCGGCCATTTTTAAAATATCTTTTTCTTTTTTCAAATTCTCTGCTCTCACCTTAGGAAGAGATATTTCATTTTGCATTAATTAATTCAACTCAGATAGTATTTTGAATCCCAATGTCATTGTTCAACATCTGAATATATCATATTAAACTAAATTAATCAACTCATGATAAGTTCTGCTCTTTTTTCTAATTTTGGAGATTACACGGTAGGAACATATAAGCAATTCTGTAGAAGAAAATAACACTGTGATTCTACATTAGGTGTGGGCATCTTATGAAATTATACTCCTTCCACTCGATTCTTTGTGTCTGTTTTTTTTTAAAAAAGAAAGCTCTCTTGTTATTTCTCAACATCAGACTTGCAGAAACACCAGAAAGAGCCAAGTAGAAACTATCAATGTTAGTTTAGTGATCATGATAACTGAAAGATCATGATAACTCTATTTTATTATGCTTGTATATTTATCTCACATTCCTTCCAAATTCAATTAGGCTTACGTATTACTCATACTTTTAAGACTATATATTGTTTACTCTTAAGCAGTTTCACAGAAAACCTACAACTGTACAAATTACTTAAAATATTAAAAATAGAATAATTAAACTGATTCGTTGTTAAATGCATGTTCAAAGAGTTACATTTTCAAGATCTATTTAAAAGGAAAGAAAACGTTTAAAGCTTTTGGATCAGAAGAGAGTTCCTTCCACAACATTTGGGACAATTACAATGAAGACTTGTAAGTATCTGCAGGGAGCCTAAGATTGCTAGTTGCTCTTTAAGATTTCCTTAAGACTTTTCATGGCTGAAAGGAGATTTGGATATGGGCCTCTTGGGCCAAATGTCTCTTTATGCACTGGATCCTATTTATTGATCACGAAAGAAGCAACATCACTGATCGATGTTATTTAGTTGGGTAATGCAAGCAAACAACCAAATTCAGAAAGCACAGGAACTCCACAGTTCCACCTTGAGCCACAGATAATTAGTTGGATGGTTCATCCAATTAAGCCTGATGCAGAAAAACTGTATTTCAGTCCTTAGAACCCTCCACAGGCAAAATAAAACATTTCTGGAAGATCCCGAATTGGGATTAAGCTTATTAAAAGTCTTTACCATTACAAAATAAACAATTCTGTAAAAAAATAGCCAGTAGCAATCACCTCTGCAACATTTAATTTTTCATTGGCTCCTCGTAATTCTTGACTCATTGTGTTGATGATCTGTTCTTGCTTTTGAGTAGTGGCCGAGAGCTTCTGGATTTTCTCATGCAGTGAGGTGATCTCTCGCCGATATCCCTCTACGTTATCTTGCAACATCTCATAACTTCACCAGGAGGAAAAACCAGGAAGGTTTTATTCCATTGAAATTGATGTAATGAAATAGAGAGGGAAAATCAGAACAAAAGAGCCTTATCAAAATGTACAGGGAGAAAACAAGGGGAAAGAAATTTTTTTTGGAAGATTCTGAAGTGGTTGTATTAGCATGAAGTGCAGAAATAAGTTACTTTGTAGTAAGATGACCAGCCTATGAATTTTAATAAATAAATAAATTTTAATTATTTAAAAATGTTATAATGGGGAATGCTTTCTATTCATGGTTTCAACCATTCTAGTTGTAGCAGAGTACTTTTATTATTAAAATTATTAAATTATTCAAAAAGTATACATGAAATAAATAAATCTCTCTTCCATTTTTCCCCCTCTCTGCAGTCATAACCACTGGAGACTCTCCAAGTTCATTCAGATAACCCAAGGTGTTCTTTTTTGAAGCGATGCGCCCTGCACACACCTGTACACATACACAAAATCTCAACTTTGCTTAAATATTTTTAATGAGGGTCTATTTAGTGTTTGAAAATACTTAAAGGTAGCCTGCCACTCTGAATTAAGAAAAGACCCATTCAGACAGATGCAAGCAACGGTTTGTAAGTCTAAATGCTACTGCTATTGCTGTTACGCTGACCAAATGCATAATTTTCAAACACTTTATCCAAGAAATAGGCTAATTGATATCTGGAATTTCCTTATTAGTTGCAAAGCATGCTAAATCAATTCTGAAGGGATTTCTTTTAATGAGTGTTCCTGATTTTAGCTTACCGCTTAGAGGCAAATTCAAGTTGGGTAGAAACCTTTGTATTCTGTGACTTCAAATCAGTAACCTGTTCTTGAAGCTTTTCATTTTGCTCATTAAGCAGCTTGTCATTCTCTGCCTTTTCTTTCCGATAGTTCTCGAAAAATTCCTGCAGCTGTGGAGTGCGTGGAATAAACAAAGCCATACAGAGGTAAATAGAAGGCTAAACAGAAGAAAAACTGTATTATGTTTGATTTTGTAAGCGTGTGAGAAGCAAAACCCATACCTGTTTAAGAGCAGCCTTCGCTTCTGCTGCTTCAGTTGACTCGATCACTGGGATTGAAGTTGGAGTCGAAGCTGGAAGGGAACCTGAGAGGCGCTTCGGGGTTGATGTCAGAGACATCTCCTCAGGCAAGATGCTTGAAGCTGAATTATACCAAGAAGAACATTTTGGAATCCACGCAGATTGTACGGAGTTCAGTGCCCTGAATTCACAACATCCCACTGAAGTCAGATAAGAGAAATCCTGACCCAAGGGGATCTAAATGGATTTATAATTGGCTGAAGAATTGAACCTAAGCTCCCTTGTTTCAAACTAACAATCAAACCACTTGACCATTGTTGTGGCCCAGCAGGTGCCGTTGGAGCTGCCACCAGACTCCGACAGCGAGGGGCCCTATGAGTCGGCTCTGGAGGACCCTGGATAGGGTTCCGACTCCGAGCAGGGCGCAGAGAGGCTGGTTGGCCACCAGGAGACACCTGAGTATTGGACCAGTGGGGAGGAGACAAGGGAGTGTGATCCGGACATCAACAGAGGGGAGGAGCCAAGGGAGTTGTTCCTGGATGGCAGAGGTGGGTTCCTACCAGTTCGTACCTATTC